CCAGTATTGTCAAGGTAAATAGTTTTAATTGAGTAATCAAGAAATTGTGCTCATAATTTTATAATTTGAACAAGTAATTTAGCAAATGCTACATTCCTAGTGAAAAGTAGGCAAACATGTGACCATCTAGTAGAAGAATCAATTAATACCATAAAATAATGAAATGGTCCACACGGTGGGTGTATTGGCCCACATATATCTCCATGAATTCTTTCCAAAAAAATTGGAGATTCAATATTGACCTTAGCAGTTGAAGGTCTAATGACTAACTTACCTTGCAAACAAGCTACACATGGATAATAATTAGGTAAAAGAATCTTCTGATTCTTTAAAGGGTGTCCATGTAAATTGTTTATTATTCGATACATCATTATAGCTCCTGGATGTCCAAGCGATCATGCCAAAGAATAAAACTTTTTGGGTCTACGAACTTCTGGTTCGTGACATTATTTGATTTAACTATTTTTATAAATGTCTAATACATGTCAGATGGGAGTGCATGAATTTTTTGTATCTACTTCTGACTAGATACAAAAGAAGTTATGCAAAGATATTCGATATTATTTTCTAGCGTCGTCTCAATATGATATCCATTGCAGTGGGTATCTTTAAAATCAAACAAATTTCTTCTAGACTTGCTAGAATAAAGTGTATCGTCAATATATAATTTTATATTATTTGGTAAAATAATACAAGCTCTTCCGGAGCCTTGAATGATATTCGATGCACATAATATTATATTGACATCATTTTCTTTCAATGTTAAGTCCAAGAAATTTTTTTGTCTTGAGAAATAGTATGTGTAATTGCACTATCAATCAAGCAGGTGTTTTGACAATCCATCATGATTATATCAATATAACAAAATAGATATATTTTAAAAACTTGAATTTAAATTCAAAATGATAAGCATAATTAATAATGTGAAATTAACGATGCATAATAAAATTCAAAATTTTTGTAAAAAGTAAAAACATATTTCAAACTAAATTTCTAAAATAAAGAGAAATACTAGAAACATAAAATAATAATAATAATAATTTATATCTTCCATCACATCACTCACAATCAAATGGTCAATATTCCCATTGGATCAACAAAGAAATCGGAAATATTCAAATGTATCACATCAATTGGACCATCATAATAAGCAAAATTTGTCTCCACTTTTCCCTTTCCCTTGATTGATTTTTGGTAGAGATCCACAATATATTTTTTCATACGACAGGTACGTGTCCAATGTCCTTTCATTCCACATCTAAAGTAACTTTTTTCTTGTATCTTTTTGGATATGCTACTTTCGTTTGCTTTATACCTTTTGAAAGTATTGCCTTGTTGTCGATAACTTTGTTGATTATTTTGTCCATTGTTTATTCCTCGTGCACGTCTACGTCCATGTTGAAATCCATGTCCACGTCCACGTCTTGATATTGTATTTGTTTCAGGCAATGCAATACCATTTGCTTTAGGCAATGGTACAGAACCAGTTGGACGTAACCTATGATTTTTTATCAGCAATTTATTATTTTGTTCAGCAACAAGTAGGCAAGATATAAGTTTTGAGTACTTTTGGAACCACGCTCGCGATATTGCTGCTACAGAAGCACATTTGAGATGTAAAAGGTGGAAAAAGTTTTTTTCCAACATATCTTCATCAGTGATTTTTTCTTCACACAATTTCAATTTTAAACATATTCTGAACAATTCAGAATTATATTCACTAACAGTTTTGAAGTCTTGTAAACAAAGGTGCATCTACTCATAACGGGCTTTGGGAAGGACTATAGTCCTTTGATAATCAAATCTTTCAGTTAATTTTTTTCCATAAGAACCTGTGGATCTTTCTAAGTGAGATATTCAATTTTTAGTCCATCGTGAGGATGATGGCGAAGGAATATAAGTGATTTTGCACGATCCTGTATGGATTCTTTGTTTCCTTTTTTTATTGTCTCTCCCTAACCTTTTGAGACAATATGGTTATCAGCAACGAGTACCCATGATAAATAATTTTTCCCAGATATATCAAATGCAGCAAACTCAAATAATATGATTAATCATCATATAATGATTAATCAAGCAGTCAATATCAATATAACATAAGTTTCGTGTTTTCTTTCAAGGAAAACCACTAAAATAATATGTTCTTCGAAACATATGATACTTCAGGAGCACATATTTTATTATTATTTCTTCAAGATCAATACGTCAATATTCTTCCAGAATATTGAAAAATATAATTTATGCTTTTCAAGGGCAAAAAATATTCTTCAAGAATATTAATTATAATATTGTGCTACTTCAGGAGTATCAACAAACTATTTATAATAGATAGATATTCGATTAATATTCTTCTAGAATATTAATTATAATGTTTTACTACTTCAGGAGCAATAACATAATACATTACCAATTTAAAATTTGTAGACAAATATCTTAAAAAAAAATTAATCAAGTTAAAGACACAAAAAGTATTTAATAATAATCACAAACGTACATCTAAAAGAAATAAAGCAAAGAGTACATGAACTAAAGTATGAATTGAAAAATAATGTGTATGGGCATGAATTAAAGCTGACAAGATAATTTCTGATCCATACGGATGCATGAACAGTTAAAGACATGATGAATTAATTCATTGAGGATGGACATCAATTACAAAAATTAAAGAATTGCATAAACTAATAAGCAGAGCCATTGGATTTGAAAAAAAAAAATTTGGGTACATATAATAATGGCGGCGATAGAAGGTGCAAATAAACTATTAGTTGATATAGTTTATTTTCACAAAATAAACCGTTGAGAAACCATTATGGCGGCAGCACAAAAAGAGAAGAATGATTACACGTTGGCTAAGAAAAGAGAAAAGAGAAGAATTATGCTTTGGCTAAAAAATAATCATTGTGTCTATGCAATAATGGCGGTAGAGTCAAAGGACAAATTAGGTGGGTCACGTAATCATTTTGACAAAAATAATATGATTCCGATGTAAAATTCACGTGTTATCAAATTAATTTTGATACACGTGATAAATAATTATGCTGAAAAAAATTACTACCTTCTCTAAACTTTGAAAAATTAAACTATCGTACTGATAACATGTTATGAAACTAAAGAAAAGAGAATCAATAGACTTGTATGTGTTTTATTAAGAACCAAAGCTTTGTATTTATAGGACAAAATCAGGGATACAACAGTAATTATTTCTAAGGCTGTAGGGGTGTAATTGTCATTCACCTCTAAACCCTAATAAACTTTTCTGTTACAAGATATAAAGGAATTTTTATAATATATTTAATTTAGTTTAAATACTTCATATTTTTCAATTACAGTAATTATTTACTTTATGAAATTGTTTTTAACTAGTAACACCATATTTTATAAACACGTGTTTGGAGGAATTTATAAGTTGTTAACATTATAAATAAATAAAAATGAGTAATGGATAACTAGATAATATGAATAAGCGCACGCATACACAAACTCGATTTTTTGATGATTGTGTATAAATAAGATTCTCTACACATTGAGCTATTAACTCATATATTTTTTTCACATTTTTCTTGTCAGGTAGAAACTAAGTTTTGACAATTTCGGAGAGCCTTTTGATTTTAGAGTCATGACCACATGACAGTTTTTGGTTATTGTCATTTGAATTGAGCATGTAAACATCATTCTAGGTTCACATTCTTTCGACATAAAATAATTTTTTATTATCTAGCATATGATTGGTAGAATGTTAAAGTTAGCCTAGGTGAAGTATTCGGCACCTAACTGGCATCCATCATCCGTTTACATCACATTTTGGGTCCATTAGGATTATTCGAAATGGGTCATGTATTCATGGGTGGATTTTAATTTTAATTCAAGTGTTTAGGCCCATCAGAAGTTTATCCATCAATGAATGTATATGACATATCTCTCTTGGCAATTAGAAAGTAATTAAAAAGAACTTTGTAACATTTTCAGGTTTATTTAAAAATTGATTTTTTTTCTGTATTAAATATCTAAGAGGAGAATTTTTTTCTGAAAACAGTTGATTAATAATTAATGCTATATAGTGAACTTTTATTGATAGAAACATACACTATAACAGAATTCACTTTTTACGGCGTGAATGCACGCCGTAAAAAGTGTTTTACGGCGTGCAGGCGCACGCCATATAAAGTGATGCCGTAAAAAATCTTAACTTTTTATGGCGTGCATAGCGCGCCGTTATAGAACGTCGTTAAAAGTCCACAACCTTTTACGGCGTGCAACTTGCATGCCGTAAAAGATGTGTACAAGGTACCTTTTAAGGGCGTGCAATTGCACACCGTTAATAATCCCATTATTTTATGGCATGCGCTGGCATGCCGTAATTGCACTTGTTTTACCTTTAACGGTGTACCATTGCATGCCTTAGAAAATGACCCGATTAGATTTTACGGCATGCCGTTGCATGCCGTAAAAGCTAATTTAATTTTTAAAAATCCTTTTGTTTATTTGATTACCAGCACCTACAATAATTACACAAATCCAATTCCAACTCTTTGAGTACAAGCTAGCATGATAAACTACATTAAAATAATTAGTTATTCTAAGCTTAAAGATGAAAAAATTAACACTAACATTTATCATATATAAATAAAATGTAACAACTACTTTTCATTTTCTCAACCAATAGACATAAGTTCAACAAATGACAAGTCTGATTCATAACTAATTGCTTCTCAACCAACAGACATAAGTTCAATCAACACTACTAAGTTATTTTACAAACAAAAGAATGATTTCCAATCACATGAGTACGGAGCTCGATCTAGGTGAGACTTCAGCAATGCTCATTTTGTAATCTACCTGTACCTGAAATTTCATCAGATGGCAGTGATCAAGTTCCACTCAATGGTCATCAATGGCCAGTTAAAAGTGTTAGACCCACAGAAGCAAGAATGCTAGGAGGACTTGAATTGTAACATATTTGCCTAATGAACTGTGAAATTAAAATAGAAAAGAAGTTTAGCATACCTTCATTGTGATTATAATGAATCCACTTCAATGTACCTAATTGGCCATGCTATTGTACTTCCTAATGCATCTTCAAGAAGAAAAAGCTCACGTGTAGGATGATATAAGCTGACATTATCAATCGCTTCATTAACCCAAACTCTCCAACATTCATTAACAAGTGGTACATAATGCACCAAATCACTTGGATTTGTTTTTGCGATTTCACTTTTGCAACAACATCAGCTTTCCCAAACCAAGATAACAATTTGCATTTCCTATTTTGAAGGTTATTTGAACCATTCAAGCTTCCGTCTCTAGGCTGTAAAATTCATATCCAATTGTACAATTTATTATTTTGGATATAGAAATCATATGTAATTTAGAATAACGTTCAATAATTTTATTTTTCACTTACATTATCTTCTTGTTCAACACTCTTACTTTTCATTTGAAACAAAGCTTTTAATTCTTTAATTTCATCTCTCAACTCTTGGACTTGAGTTTGCAAGTTATGATTGTGCACCAAAGCACTCAACTTTGAAGGAGTCGCACCGAAACCAAGACCTCTTACCCGTCCTCGACGTTCAGGACCAAGTACCCTAGCAACACCATCATCTTTAAGGGAGTGTTGGCTAGGAGAGGTAACCATCTCTGAACATGCTTTTATTTTGTTCTGATATGGCAATCATGAGACTTTAGATTTAAAATCCTATTATCTGTTAATGATACACACTTTAAAATGTTAGAACTATAACCATCAGGCAATCTTAAATCAAATAGTCTCTTACAAAATAACTCTTTCTCTTTTTTTGCTGTGGGGAGTTAATATATATTTTCTTTCAGTTCTGGATGAAGATCCTTTCTAATACCCATATTGAGTAAATCCTTACAGGAATTTAACTCATCTTTTGATTTTCCCTTCACATGCAAAATAGTGCCAAGAATGCTTTCGCAAACGTTCTTCTCAATGTGCATTAAATCCAAATTATGGCGCAAAAGTAGTGTCTGAAAAATAACAATATAAATTCAAAAAAAGTTTAAGCAAAAAAATAACTAATTCAAAATAGTTTAAATTGACTAACCTCCCAATATGGCAGCTCAAAGAATATTGACTTTTTTTCTATGGCCAATTAGAATCTAATTTTTTCATCTTTCTTTTTTTTCCTATTTTTCCCCAATTATTGCTAACATTCTTGATTGAACACATCACTTCTCGACCGGTTAATATTTTAGGACTAGGCCTATGCTCCTTGTTTCCATCAAACCAAGCTTCTTTTAACCAATAAGGATGATTATATGCAAGAAATCTTCTATAACCCATGTATGAAAACTTTCGACTATAAGTCAACCATTTTGCACATGTGGATAAACCACATACTGGACATGCTACTTCGCCTTTCATAGGATATCCTGATAAGTTCCCATAAGCCGGAAGATCATTAATTTTCCACATAAGTACAGCTTTCAAATTGAAGGTGGACTTGGTAAATCCATCATATACTTCAACACCAATATTCTACAACTCCTTTAAGTCTTCTATTGGTGGTTCTAGATACACATCTATATCATTTCCAGGTTGCTTGGGACTTGGGATTAATAAAGTCAACAACAAATTTTCCTTAGACATGCATATCCAAGGAGGGAGATTATATATAACTAGTATCACTGGCCAACAACTATACCTAGAACTTAGGTTAACAAAGGGATTAAATCCATCAGAAGAAAGGCCAAGTCTAAGATTTCATGGTTCTGATGCAAAACAAGGCCATTTTTGATCAATTCTCTCCCAAGCTTATGAATCAACTGGATGATGCATTTTTCCATCTAGACTTTTGTGATTTGAGTGTCATATTAATTGTTCTGCCTTATCAAGTGACCTAAACATTCTTCTAAATCATGGTATGATCGAAAAATATCGCAGAACCTTTGCAGGTATCCCTTTTTTAATCTTTTTAGTCCGTTCATGAACTTTCCACTGCAAAGATGCACATTTCGGACATGTATCAAAATTCTCTAGATCATTTCTAAACAAACAACAATCATTTACGCATGCATGTATCTTCTCATACCCCAAATCAAAGGTTTTCAATAACCTTTTTATTGCATTGCAAGAATTAGGAAGAGTGTTCCCATGTGGTAGCATATCTTGGATAATATCAAGAAGTTCATTGAAACCATTGTCAGATATACCATATGTAGCTTTAAGCTTGTATAAGACAACAGTTGTAGATATCCTTGTATACTTTGTGCAACCAAGATAGAAAGGAATTTCTACGCCTTCATATAGATTTGAATAATCGTTCTCTCTATCTTCATTCTTGGGTTCTACACTATTATGATCCTGAAAAAATGCATCTCTATACATCCTATACGTCTCTAAATTTTCTACATCTTGAAGAGCCAATGATGCTGTATTTGATTTTTCCCCATGAAACACCCAAGTAGTATACGTAGGATCCATGCCATTAATGATCAAATGCCCATACATTACATCAAAATGTTGGTAGAATAGATTTTTGCAACATTTGCAAGGGCATATGACCTTTTCTGGATTCCCCGCATTGGCTTGCACCATATTTCTTACACCACGTTGATACGCCTTTGAAACTCTATGAAAAAATGTTAAATAAATCATTTAAAAAATCATTTGAAGACATATTTTAAAATATTCTGAATTTAAAAGGACGAGATAACCCTGATAAGTGTACCCAATCTTTATCCATGATAATACACCAACACTATTAAATTATAATCTGTTATAACACAATAAAAACAATTATATTGGGGCATCTTAGAAATCAAGTTCCAATTAGGTAAGTCATTTTGCAAATAAAGTTTCATTACAGCAAGGTGGAAGACAAAGCAACTGGAGAAAGATTATGAAGTTTTTAAGAGACAATTTGAAGTTGTTAAAGCAGATAATGTATACTTGGTGCTCCCCAAGGATAGAGATTCAAAGAAATTGCAGTTGAGTTTAAGCCTTGAGTTTGAGCCATCATGTACAGATAACTTGAAATTCTTTCAAAAACTGAATATAAGGGCACCTTTTCTTGTTTGTTTGGCTAAACTTGATGTCGTATCATCCTATGTAATTACTTGTCTAAACTGACTTTCATGATGGCATAACAATTGAAGTCACCATGAAAAATTACATATGTGCTTACGAAAATTAACACACTATGTCATAGCCATTGGATTGATAGACATACTTACATGAATTGGTATTAAGTTCTATCATCAATCTCTTTTGATTTATATTACAATATAATGTTGATTTATAACATGATTGGATTTTATATGACAATATAGTGTTTGATTCGTAGAGACAGACGAGCTCTTTATTGGCTATTCCTCTTATATCCTAAAATGATTATTTGTACAAATATTGCATTTCATTGTATTATTTTGTTGTTGCGGAGTCCCTAACTTTAAGAAAATAAACATGATCTATTAATTAAATAACCAGCAAATTAGAAAAGAATAATATATTATTATACAATTTGGTAATATGAATTATTCATACAAAATATATGGATTTAATCACATTATTACAGAGGTAGTAAGTTACAATTTAAAAAATTATAAACTATGTAACAGAATAAATAAAAATGTAAGCGACATTTATTATAAAGAAATTATATAAAGTGTAATTTGCCAAAAAAAAATATAATATTACACATAATTGCCATATTTTTCTTTAAGCGCTAATTTATGTTGTATTTTGGACGTTTTAACAAAAACCAAAATTTTTCAAATCAATCCCCTATTTTATCCCTATTTGTGTAATTTGGACAAATAGAAAGCCTTTGTTTTAGGCCCAACACTGCAGGCACAGCAAAAGATTTCAACCTTTGATTTTGGCTATGATGTACTATTTGATAATGAGGATATTTCTACTAGTTCTGATATTAATCCAAATGTACTATTTAATAACAAGGACATTTGGATTCCTGCTTCTTTTCATCTTCCAAATCTGAAAATCTTCCGTTCTGGTCTTTTCTATCCTCAAAAAGCTTCTCTTTAGTAGCCCACTACTGGAGGATTTAAACTTTAAAGGGAACTGTAACAAGTGATTTTATATTCAATCTTTCATGTCCACTTTTGAAAAGATTAAAGATAGTGTTATGGCCATTGGATTGACACATCAAGAAATGGAAGGTTCTTGCAGTAACAGAAGTGAAAATAGCTGTGATATTAAGTTAGACATATCAAGAGCACCAGCAAATGACAGCCCTTTATCTCTACACCCCTCAACCAGACCCCTCTTTACACCTTCCATGAGGCCTAATGGCGTGGCACAACTTTTCCAGACGACGTGTAGACTTGATATTCAGTACCAGAAACCAGAACAAACTGTGAAAGATGAAAGCTTCTGTAGTATGTTATGTGGCATGGATGATCAAATCGGATTCTGGCCATGGCTAGAACAACAGCTTTCTCATTCCATGGACATAATTCCAGGATACATTATCACATTCTAATATCTCGAGGGTGAATGAGGAGTCTAACATGCATATATTATATTATCATTAGAGGAAAGCAGACCCTAATATCAAAACTCATCCCTAGGGAACCAACTTGGAGTTATGCCTTGGCCATTTATTCACAGTGCCAGCTGAAAGTACCAATACTCCCGTGTGTTTCTTTCTTCCTAGTTGCAATTACTCTGAATTGAAAACACATCAATACAATGCCAAACAAGAACCTAAATTAATTCATTCAAAAATCAAACGACACAACCAATACGAAAATTAATTTCATTATCAAGTCGAATGACATAACAAATCAGGAAATAGCCAAACAATAATATGATTTTAGGTATTAATCTGATTCATGCTAACTCATTCAATAGCTTAAATCATACAATTCCTTCAAGAAACTAGACCCCTAAAAAGATAGGGACGGGTATTAATTTGAAGAATCCTTACATTACAGAAATATTTCGATTTGGGTCTTGGGAGGCAATGACGAGAGTGAGAGCTAGCGCCCGTGGTTGACGGTGGAAGGCGGAGAGTTAGAGCTGAGGCGCTGGGCGAAGTCGAGGATGGTAGCTGTGGTGGACTAGCGGCAGCACAGGAAGAAGAGGTCACTGAGGAAAATGAACGGCAGGAGGCGAAGTGGTTTTTAAGAAGGGATGAGAATCTTACGAATGGGAGAAAAATGTCGTGTTTTAATTGGGTTTTTGAAGATATACTATGGCGTGCAAATGCACGCCGTAAATAAGTTTAATTTTTTTCAAGCACGACGTGCATCTATTGCACGTCGTAAATGCTAACTTAATACGGCGTGCACCATTTGCACGCCGTAAATAATTTTATCGAATGATTTTTTACGGCTTAATTTTTGTGCATGCCGTAAAAAGTGAATTCTGTTGTAGTGATAGTTTCAATAAAAGAAACTCAAGGGCCATATTCTTCTCCAATGATACATTGGAAGAATCCGTTTGGTCTTCCAATATCAGTAGGTTGATAATTTCATTTTTGGATCCAAATCATTAGTATTGAACTTTTTTTTCCAAGTGAAATCCCCGTAGTTAATTACTCAAATGTATCGACAAAATCATTTTATTATTTCTACTAAGGATTCTAATCAAAACATTTTCATTTTCAATCGTTGAATTGGTTTGGTTACTTTTGAAAGATATGTTAGTAAATTATGTTTTTTATTGTTTGTAAACTTATTTAAAAAAAAATTAATTACTACTTTAATTGTTCAATTGAATATTTTTTCAAAAAAAAAATTATTATCCTAATGTTAAATAAATTAAATCACTAAACTTTCATTTTAGTCAAGTCTCTTTCTCAATAAATTTGAGGTTGACTAATGAATTGATGAAAATAGTTTTTTTCCCAAATTTTTTGTTGAAAATGAATAAAATAAAAAGGTGTTGTAATGTTAAAGCTCATATAATATGAGCTAATCACTTAGTGCATTACTGAGATGTACCATTATTTTAATCTCAATTATTGAAAGAGAAAAAAGACCATTTTGTGTTGCAAGTATTTGAAATCTAAAGATCCGTTTGGCTTGTGTTTCAGTTTCAATTCAGGATTCATTTTCAATTGTCTGTTTTGATTCTTTTGAGTGTCCGTTTTAACATTGCTAGAAGTTCGTTTGATTGGTTGAAAATTATTTCTCAAAAAAGAAAAATAGAAAAGACTTTTTATTTCAAAATTTGAAAAATTGTTGTATGACATTTTATTCAATAAATATAGAAATATTTTATATGTTTATATATTATTAAGTAATATATACGTCTTAAAATTGGTGCTTCTTACAATATTTTTTTCGATACAAAAGTGAAATAAAAATAAGTAATAAATTAAGTTCAAAATATAGGAAATAAAAATAAAAATTCAAGAGAAAATAATTTTCAATACGTCTATGTTTTGCAATAACCATTAACAATTCTTAAGGACAAACAATGCTTACTGTTGAAACATATCATCCCGAACATGTATTCCCTCAAGGGGCAATTACATGTCCCACTTTCTCGAAGGAATTTCAATGTAAAAAAAGAAATAATAAAAACAAAAACAAAAGTTTTGATAAAAGCGGAAAATAAGAAATAATAATAATAATAAAATCTTTGAGACGTTTACAAAAAAATATTGTATAAAAGAGTTATTGGGATCAAAATATTACATTTCAACTTATTTAACGTTTTCACATTGCGTACACAGTTTCATTAAAAAAAATGTATTCATATATATTCTTTTTAACAGTATAAAATTTTTCTTTAACAATATCAATTATCTCAACTACTTTAAAAAATTGCATCAGTACATTAAAAATATTATGCACATCATCATATATATAAGACGTGCAATCCACGTGCTTACTATATACATAGAGTGTGCAACGCCACCTATTGTAATGTGCTATATATATATATGTGAATTTATTACCGTTTACAAATTCCCACTCCCTGAGTACATTGGCTCATATATTTTCAATTTTTTAATTAAATAACAATTAAAATTTGATAGCTTTAAAAAGCCCTAGAATTTTACATCCACACAACATTTTCAATATGAATGACTCAATTTGAGTGACATGGGCTCTTCGACTATCATTCTTTTATATACCGTGCAAAACATGAACATATCATAATCAGACTTAGTGGTGGGTCCCAATTAATGAGCTACATAAAAAGTCATTATTTCGATTGGTCAAATACGTTTGACATCATTTAACTCTGACAACTTGTTACAGATGTCTTATTCGACTACGAAGACATGAAAATAGTTAGGTGAATCATAATTGGCTATTTAAATTTCAAATTAAAAGGCAAATGGTCTCTTGTGCAGATAATGTATTAATTAATTACAATTATAGATAATTACTTTTCGCGAACTACTGCATTTTAACCCCTTCATTTTATTTATATTTACTGTGCAGAAAAAATTAGCATCAAGAATCATTTTATTTTCAGAATGTAATTAAAAAGATTTTTATGATATCCTCATCAATAATTCAATACAAAACAAAGGTAACAAACCAACTTAAATATGGTAACACCTTCAAAGAGCACCCCAACCCAACCCCACCCCACCCCACCCCACGCCACCCTACCCTACTCACTCCTGACACCCTAGCCCACCCCATCCCACTCAACAAGCAAAAGAACAAAACGAAAATAAAAAGAGATACGCCAGCTAAGAATGCAGAGAGACGGTGACAAAAGAATTCTATAGAGTTAAGAACCATACAACTTCCTCTTCAACGCTTTTCATCATACATTATGTTATAACTTTACCTGAACCATTTCGTAAAGTCTACCACTACGTTATACGAGGTGTTCAACACCCATCCGTAGTGGTTCCGAAGTGACGCCACCATCAATGTTGTCAATCTGCTAACGCACTGCGAGGCACAGACAATCTACTGAACCGATCGAAGCGTTCTCGCGCCTGAAGTCGAGATGCAGTACATTCTAAGGTTCTCTGTCAGAGGATTCATCGTCAATTTTAGAAAAAGATCTATGTCAAGATCCTTTCTGCCCCCAAGGTTTAATTGATTTGACGTCTCCATGAGCCTAGTTGATGTGACGTATCAACTTTATGTCAACTCAACTCGAGAGAAGTAATTACCCGTCCACTCTATAGAGGCGGTTGATTGACGTCTATGAGCAGACGCCTCACACCGTCAGATGCATACACGTGTCTCACATCCAACGATTCTCCTCACCTATAAATACCCAAGGCTTGACAAGAGGCAAAGGTAATGAAACTCTTACAACATAGCTTTCCATAACAAGCAAATATATATTCTCCTCCCCACTATTTTGCACCACCTTGGTATTGTTCCGATCACCTGAGGCTAACTTGACCGTCTGAGTGTATGCGATCGCCGTCACCCCTGCTAGTTCAGGCCGTGTACATCTGACCTTGCGTTGACTGTGCTCGGGGAGGAATACGTGGAGTAGCTATCGGTTGGCCACATGGAGGGTCCACTCAACAAATTGGCGCCATCTGTGGAAAACTTCCTGTCCAAAGTTCTGCATTCTCCATCGGAGAAACCACCGGAAAACTAGTGACTTACCCTGAAAAGGGCACATTCTTGAAAAAGAGCAAAGTCGAGTTATAATCCAAGTTCTTATCACCCTTGAAAAACGAGATAAGATGAGTTACAACCATGAAGATGAGAACTCTATGAGAAAGGCCTCTAAAGAAGAGGTGCTCCGTAACAATGTCACTCACCAGAGACCCCATCAGCGGCGTCGCCGAGGTGAAAGAACAGCCATGCTCACTGAAAGAATGGGTCAAATAGCTGCGGACATGAGAGACATCGCAGCCCAGAATATGGCGATGCATGAACTTCTCATGCAAGCCTGAGGTAACCAGGGCTCTCAAATGTCCCCAGGATCTTACCCAGTTCAGGAATCCCATACATCTCGTTCTCGAGGCCATGTGATCCAGCACAGAGAACGCCCCCTCAAAAGAGAAGTGGGTGTGGAAGCCACATCCTATAAGCAAGGGAGCCAGCCAGAAGAACCACAATTGGGGGACAATTTCCCTCAAGAATATGAAGCACAAAGGTCAGTCAGCGTCTTCGACCAAATAGGACAGGACCCTAGTAATAGGATCCGCTCAGTGCGAAGATCAGTTCGGCAAAAACAGTAGCAACAACAAGCACCTCCTCCTCCTAGAAATAGAAAGGAGAGAATGGACTTAGTTGATTGGGGCAATCGAGGAGAAGCACCCCCACCTCCCCAGAACATTCAAGATGATGAAGGGTCAAATGGGCCTTGTCGATCCTATGAAATTGACGATGATGATGATAACCTCCCTTTCTCAAGGAAAATTCGAAGTTTCCCAATGCCTGCGAATTTCATGCCCCTTAAGATCCCGAAGTATAAAGGAAAGGGGGATCCGGAGAAGCACCTCACCAAGTACATGACACAGATGAGCCTCAGAGGAGCCTCACCTGCTTTGAAGTGCAGAGCCTTCCACTTAGCCCTAGGCGGAGATGCTGAAGT